TGCCTTCCTAGGTAATCACGTGGGAAAGTTCAGTGCATAGAGCAAGTTAAAATAGGCAGAAGTGTTAGTCAAAAATAGAAATTTCTATGGGCGCCTGGGTGGCTCAGATGGTTAAGCGTCTGCCTTCGGCTCAGGTCATGATCTCAGGGTCCTGGGATCAAGTCCCGCATCGGGCTTCCTGCTCCTTGGGAGCCTGCTTCTCCCTCTGCCTCTCTCTCTCTGTCTCTCATGAATAAATAAATAAAATCTTTAAAAAAAAAAAATAGAAATTTCTATTTGTTTGGAAGGAGGTAATCATCTTTCTTTGTGTAGGTTATCTGCAGAAGGAAATCAAATAATCTGTAAAGATGAGCAAAATTAAAGAGAAAAAACCGTAAAACTTAGCATTTAAATAGATCATCTAAATGTAAGTTTATGATTAATTCTTGCATTGTAATTTACGGCAGGAACACAATCGATCAAGCCATTTACTGCTATTATATTGCCAGTACTTTTCTTACTTGAAAAATTGTTTATATGAATTTTTTTGTGTTTGAGGGAATAAAAGTATTTTATGTACCTTATTATAAAGGTGGTATTAAATGTACAAAGATTGGTTGTAAAACTTTAAAAAATAATATGACCAGTATTATCAGTACCTTGAACATACATATTTGAAACAATTTTACTGTGTAACCAATTTATTTAAGCTTTTGATAACCACCATAATTCTGCATGGGGACAGGGTCAAGTGAGAGATTCTTATTTTTTTCTATCAAATAATTTTAGAGTTCGAAGTATATATACTTTGATACTCTAAAAGAACATCTTATGTTTGTACATATGAAGCCACATATTGCTAAATATTTTTAATTATTTGGCATTCAGAGGGATTAGTTAACTCGGTACACCCCCAGAAGAGTTTCTGTGGTAATGTATTATCTAAATTAGAATGTTCCGAATAAGCATAAAGAATTCTCAAACGTGCAAGTATCATTTTAAAACAGTCCACTTGCTTGGGGTAGGAAACGGAGCTAGGATTTTTTATTTTATAAAATGAGGTTACAAAACCCGAAGTTAATAAATAATTTAATACTAATTTTCTCTGTTTCACCCAATTTAGAAAATAAGTTGTTATTACATACACTAGAAAATTATTGTGAATATGAAAAGAATTGGCAACAAATCTGACTTCAGCATATAGTCAGTTGTGAAGGCACTGCCTTTATTCTGTTACTGAGCCAGGAGCAGACATATGCCCCTTGTACTTCTGCCAAAACTATTAGGCAGAAAACTAGCAGAATGGCTACTGATACTTCCATTCATGATTTATGATAATGGTTGCTGTGGAAGACTAAGTCATTTACATTTATTGAGCTCATTTTTTTGTTTATAGTTTCAGATATTGTAGAGGGTCTAAAATCCATTAGACAACACGTATAGCACTAACAATAATTGCATAAAAAGATACCAGAAACTGAGGAGAGTGAAACCAAGTACAATGAGCCTTCCCGATGTTGTAGTTGGGGTGTGGCTAGTTTTGTCAGGCTCGATTAGAGGAAAGTAGGCATTGTTCTAAAACTCAAGGAACGGGCATACCCAGAGATTGGAGAAGAGTTTGGTTGGGATAAAGTCATGAGTCAGGTTTACCCATAGTCTTTCATCTGCTGTCTGCGTCTGCCTGGTAGTCCTCATTTTAGAAGAAGTTTAGAGAATAGGAGGCAGACTTATAATCGTATCGTACGGGGAGTGTGGTAATAAAAGTTACCAAGAGTTATAGAAGTATAGGTAAAAGGAGGTTTGCATGTTGGGAATTTTAGAAAATTCACTAGCATCCATTTATCCATCTTGAGTGTACCTACAGACCTAGGTTTTATAGTTCCTGAGAACTTATGAGAATTGCTTTATAATGGTTTGGATGATTATCTCAAAGATGAGGCCGCACCTATTTCCCAAAGGATTCAAACAGCAGTTGGCGATCAGACGGAGCACAGCCATGTTTATGGGTGTCAGACAAGGTGCTTCAACCCTGCTAAGGCTATATTTATATTCTCTCAGGAGATTCATGTGTGAAAAGGCTACATATAATTAGCACGTCTTTGGGCTAGTTGACCAGGATATTCTTTCACTGCTCTGTGTAGACCACAAAAAAGTATAGCCTTAACTCAGCATTTATTTGTAAGGCTAGTGATTTTCACTAGCAGTTCCTATCTGAAAGTTGTAACAGGCTTTCTCTATCAAATCTGTATCATTCCTATTTATATATTAACTAACCGAGAGGAAAAAAAGCAAATTTTAAAAAATCTACCACGCCCTTTGGAGTAGGAGAGTGGTTCACAAGTAGATAACCCTGTGCAGAGGGAGGCAGACCTTTCTTTCTTTTTTTAAAATTTTTTATTGTTATGTTAATCCCCATACATTACATCATTAGTTTTAGATGTAGTGTTCCATGATTCATTGTTTGTGCATAACACCCAGTGCTCCATGCAGAATGTGCCCTCCTCAATACCCATCACCAGGCTAACCCATCCCCCACCCCCCTCCCCTCTAGAACCCTCAGTTTGTTTTTCAGAGTCCATCGTCTCTCATGGTTTGTCTACCCCTCCGATTTCCCCCCTTCATTCTTCCCCTCCTGTTTTCTTCTTTTTTTTTTTTTCTTAACATATATTGCATTATTTGTTTCAGAGGTACAGATCTGAGATTCAACAGTCTTGCACAATTCACAGTGCTTACCAGAGCACATACCCTCCCCAGTGTCTATCACTCAGTCACCCCATCCATCCCACCCCACCCCCCACTCCAGCAACCCTCAGTTTGTTTCCTGCGATTAAGAATTCCTCATATCAGTGAGGTCATATGATACATGTCTTTCTCTGTTTGACTTATTTCGCTCAGCATAATACCCTCCAGTTCCATCCATGTCTTTGCAAATGGCAAGATCTCATTCCTTTTGATGGCTGCATAAGAGGCACACCTTTCTAAAGTCATTTCTGTGGTTGCTAACCAGTTCTAGAGTTTTGTGTGCATTTGATCTGGCTTCTTGAGTGATTTCATCAGTATGAACCACAAGTCATGGCATTAAATGAATACACAGGATTGACAATAGGTTTCTGAAATACAATGCTGACCGCTGGAATTATCTTCTGGGTAGATTGTGTAGTGACTGGGTGATAGATTACCTCGATGTGTGTTGTGTGAAGCATGGAATTGAGCAATCACAAACAGTTGATGAAAGAAATGCATGAAGGTCTTGCTGAAGTACAACTGTATGGGACATAATACTAGAAAGAGCCCTGGACTGGGAGTATGCTGGCCCCAAACCTTTCTGTTTCTTCAGCAAGAAATGGAAGATATTGGTCTAAATGACCTCTGAAGTACCTTCTGGATTTAGACATGGCGATGCTTTTATTCTTGAGCTGTACGAAGGCATGACCTGCTGGCATGAGAAATATGTTGGCTCATGTTTTCAACCAAATGTGTCAACAAAAGGAATTGGTATTATGCTAAGTAGCTGGCATTTTTTTTTAAACTGTATTACTTTGAAGTGGTCATGCCATTACTGATCATCTTTTTCTCAGATTTGTGAGGGTTTAATAGCAGAACACTAAGATACTGAGATTGTTTTAACTGGTCTTATTATACTTTGGTATTGTGTATTACTAACTCAAGCGTCCCTTGGTGGTGGAGAGGCAAGACTGAATTTCACGTGAAGATATATTAACTTGACTTAGAGGTCAGTTCTTTGTGAAATATTGGGAAGAGGCTTAACTGTTCTATTTGGTTCTGTGTTAGGAGAAGCTCAAAAACATTGATTCATACTTTGTTGATGCAGGAGAATAAAATGACCTCAGAAGTCAAGGGATAATCTGAAGCCCTGATAATTCTTACTCTATTTGGAAGAAAATCTTAGGCAACCAATCTCAGAAAAGATTAATGAGAGTGGCTGCTAATATGTACATATATTGTTTCTTACTTAATATAGAAATTCTTAAAATTCTTTTGGTAGGTGGAAACCTACCCTAGTTACTTGTCATTCTTTCCAATCAAAAAGTTTGGGGTATTGAAGTGCCCTTGAACCATATGCTTGCCGAGTGTTGGTTCAAAGAACAGAATATTGTTATCAATAAGTAGGTCGTGTATCTGCGAACTTCAGGGGAGTGTGAGGTTACTGATTTACACATTTTCATGGTGTCATACATCTTTGTTTCCTTGTCATTGTGTAGATGGACATGCAGAGTTATTTAGGATTAGAAGATGCAGTAGCATTTGCTTATGATGTTAGCCTTATGTAATGACAGTATGAGGAAAAGTTACAGAGACTGTAAAGATCAGTCTTCTGTGTGCAGAAATCACAAAAGGACGTATTTGGGAGCCTGAAGAAAGAAGTCCTTATGCTAGTATTGGTGTGCTTACTAGTGAATGGTGTAGTCTCACAAATTAATGAGGGGCCAGAGTGGATCTACATTATCCTTACCCATGAGGAAAGGAAGCACTTGAGGAGGGGCTGCTTGTTTTCTTTGCATTTTGCAAATACAGAACACAGGGTCTATGCTGTGTGATAAGGACCTACTAATCTCTCCAGCAGTGCATGGCTGCATCAAGGAGGATGTTAGCCCTAGTGAAAGAATCAATATCTGGCCAGGAAGCTGCTTCTCTCTTACCGTTGGCACATGATCTTCACATAGGAATACTCATGTGCTTGGTAGTCATCCACATCACATGTTCAATTCTAATTCTCCTCAAAAGTAAATAGCACAGGGGTGCCTGGCTGGCTCAGTCGGAAGAGCATGTGACTCTTTATCTCAGGGTCGTGAGTGCAAGTCCCATGTTGGGTGTAGAGATTACTTAGATAAATAAAAACTTAAAAAGTAAATAGCTTTGCAATCCACGTTGATAGCAGGGCCGAACAACGGTAGAAAATGTGGGAAAGCAAAATCCTCACATATATTTTAGCCTCCTTCACTTTGTTCTTTTGATTCACTGTATTCCTTATCCATTTTTGTTTTTGTTTCCCTTCCAAGTGGAAGAAGACACAGAAGAAAGTTCAAGATCAGGGAGAGAGTCTGTATCCACAGCCAGTGATCAGCCTTCACATTCTCTGGAGAGACACATGAATGGAAACCAAGAGAAAGGCGATAAGATGGATAGGAGAAAGGAGAAAGCTGGCAAAGAGAAGAGGAAAGACCGAGACAAGGAGAAAGAGAAAATGAAAGCCAAGAAGGGAATGCTGAAGGGCTTGGGAGACATGTTCAGGTAAGTCTTTACCAACCCAGAGCAGATCATCCCTAGACATCCGTGAGTGGGAGGTTAATACAGAATTCTACGAGCCCAGATTTGAAAACGTTATCTTTGAGGGCAATCAAAAATGTTTTCTAATGTTCAGTCTTCACTGACTGTCTTCTCAAGGATTTCACTTCCGTTATTTCAGACCATGGTAGCAGCCTTAAAGATGGTATCTTGCCAACCGCATAAATAACCATGTGAGGAAGGAAGGACCAGTCTTCATGTTAGCTATGCGTGAGAGAAGGAGCCCCATGGAGACAAAGGGCTGTTAAAGCGGTGTGTGTTCTTTTGTGTGTGTGAACAATGGTTCATTATTTAAATTTAACATAGAGCTCAAGTTAGTGGTAGCATTTAGAGGTTCATTAATAACAAGTCTAATAAAAAATGTTACAAATAGAGCTTCAATTAAGCTGTGTTGATTAATTTAAGACTTATTACTTCAGTCTGTAAAGATTTCATTCAATGTAGGCTCTGGCTGTTTCCTGACACTTGTTTTTGTGTCCCTAAATTATGCTCTGGGATTACTTAGCATATCGTTTTTTACAAATCATTGCTCCACAGTAAAAGTGACAAGTTGTTCAGAAGTTGCACTGAAACTCTCCCATAAATGTTCATCTAAGGTGATTTATAATATTCAGGCATTTAATGTTAAATATAAAGGTTGCTCGATTGTTCCATAAATTAAACCCCTAAACATATCAAGATGATGGTTTCAAATTAAAAACATACAGCACAGCCACTTGACTCTTCAAAAAGTAGTTACCCTGTATTAGGAATCCCTTTCTTTTAACTTTCTTTTAATTGCAAAATGTGAACAGGAGTTTTTATTTTCCTGGAACTTCTTGATTTATGATCCTGAGGTTGACCTCAATAACTCAGGGAGTTAAAGATATGTCAAGCCTGCAAAGTTGAGGACTCGGGGCCCAGCCTGCAGGCCACACAACACAACAGATGTGCTCTGTACATGTCTGATTAAGTTGAGTGCATGGAAGAAGTAAACTATAGACCTAGATAAAACAAAGCCTGGCCTATTAGTGGCATTAGCTTTCATTTAAATACGATGTGAGTTCCATCTCTGATGCTTCAGAGCATTGGGACTTCCATAGTTTTACATTAGAGTTTTTCTTGTTTATGTACTACTGAATGCTTTTTCAGTCAGATTGTCTTTCTTCATTGTATGTTGTATCCAAGAACACCTATGGGACGAAATTGCTCTAACGGCCACTTTATTTCAGTTTCTTTGCAAGCCAGGGACTTTTCTTTCTGTATATGCAGACTGACAGCTCGTAAGTTGGCACCTGCATAATGCACGACATAAGGCCCTTGCCCATCAATTAAAATTTAAGAACTGTGTACTACTTCTTTAAATTGGAGAATACGAGATGGGAGGATACCTTCCCTGGGACTTACACATTCAACAAGGTCTCGTTTCCAGGTGTCCTCCTGAAGTCGCATTGAAAGCCAATGGCCTCTTAGTTTTCCTCCTTCGTCAGGCAACATTTATCTGACAGATACAGTGCTCTGTTCTTCTCATGGAATAAAAAAAATAAGCAAATTTCTGGTGTGTCTTTATAAAATATGTTATAAATTATTTTCATTATAAATTGTTTTTTTCTGTAATTTACAACTCCAGAGTAAGAGAGGCTTTATGGTAGAGTTTTTCCTTTCGGGGGCCAGAAGAGTGGACGGTGTGGGGGCCATGGGGACCTGTATGTTTCAGAGCGACCCTGAATTGTAACTCAAGAACCACCTTGTTGCTAAAAGTTCTGTAAAATACTATATGATGTTTTCTCTAGACCAAGTTCTATGGGTTATACCTGCACCCTGTAGTGAAAGCCAGCCTTGTGATAATTGTAATTTCAAAGGCCTGCATATTTTCGAAAACTAACTTCTTTGTTTAGGTGCAGGAGCTAAAGGGTTTTTTTACCCCCCTAAAAAATTAGCTTGTATTCTCCCAGTGTTTAAGAATAGCTATTAAAGAAAATCACTGACATTCATACTTTTCTGGGAACATAGCATCAGTGGTTTGCTAGAATCAGCCCACATTGGCTTGTGAGAGCCAATTGCTCAATGTTTAGAAATATTGCCAAATGTTTGTTAAACACACCATTATAAAAATTAAGTAAGTTTTATGAAAATCAAAAGCAGTACTCAAAATTTACCAGTTCCTAATTATTTTATCACATTTTACCATGATCTCTGCATTCGAGGTTATTTACCCCTCTTGATTGGCACAGTGCTAACACTTTACGCGGGGCCACAAAAACAGCTCTCACCAGCTCTACCTTTAAGACATAATGCTGCTAGTTGAATGTGAGCCGTGTTGGGAGAACTTACACCATGAAAGTGTATGAGTTCCACAAAACAGAGCCACTTCTCCTAGGAGTACAAGATGCCAAAGAATGTAAATCTCTCTTAAGCAGAGTCTCAGTATCTTGTCTAGTTTCCTTGACCATGACTGTCTTCCATCCGGGTGCAAATCACTGCCTCAGTCCTTTGGGAAATGGTTGAAGCTTGCCAAACACTTCTCCTTGAAAATGATCTGAGAATAATTTATTAAACATACAATAAGCTTTTTGTCTGATTGACTCTTGGCTCTTAATCCTTCACACCATTATATTATGTTCTTCGTATTGGAGAAGACTCTTAAAGCATTGTTAGATTTTTCAAAACATTTGTAACTACCTCTCATACTTACTGGATCTCACTGTTCGAGACTAATACACTCTCAGATTGGTTCTTTTATGTTTTCTTTTTTTTTTTTTAAATAACATAGGGGAATATAGTCTGATTTTAAAATTAGTTTTTCCTTTCTTTTTGTTCTCTTATGGAGAATAGCATGTGATTTCCTTAGCAGTGTTGCTTTTAAATAGCTTAATCCAAATGTGTACGCGCATATACATTTCTTAGGACAGTTTGTAAGGAGGTTCAGGTGCGGCTGCCCAGCATAGGCCTGAAGTACAAAGCAGGGACGTGCGCGTGTCTGTGTGAGAGCATGTGCGTTTGTGCATGTGTTGTTATGATTTTGGTTTTGGTTCAGATAACAGAAAGAAAAAGCTAAGGGTCAGGGACATTAGATATTGGGAGTCTAACTTTCTGAGCGTATGAGCTTTTTCTCTTTAGTCGCTCGAGGAGGTAATAATATGTTTTCCTTTAAAAACAGGCTCACCGGCTCTCCTCCTCACCATCTCCCTCCACAGCCCCCCCCGCAAACACACACACTCTCTTCCTCCCCCTATAGATTGTCTGTGATTTTGGGTTCAATTTGAAGAGGGCCAAATATACGGACCCTGTTTTTAAAAGGGCACCAGAGGAAACCATGGCACCTTGCGTAGGTATTTTTATTTATTGGTATATACAGATGACATAGTTTTCTATTTCACACATTGAATGGTAGTCACAAAGATGATTTAATTATTGAAAAATAGCTCTAGGAAAGAATGTTTTGAGTCATATGAATCACTCTTCTGTTAATAAATTATGGAGTATATGAAGTGCAAAAGCTGGTCTTAATGAAAGTTTTAAATCACAAATTTTAAGCTATAAGAAAAATAACAAATGTAAAGTGTTTCACGTTTGTATGAGTTTCTTATTGTATATACTACATCTTCTTTTGCACATAAGGAACTCCTATTGCCTTAATTAAAATGGCTTTGTAGCTAAGAAACCAGAGTGTGCTTACTAAATAGGTAAACATGACTTGTAAATGTAATCATTCTTTGTGCAAAGTGCAGAACAGAGGGAGGGTCTGGAATTTTGAGTCTTTGTTTATGTTTGATTCTCAGATGCTTGGCTATTCAAATTTAATACTATAAAATATTTTTGAGAATTCTGCAGTTGTATGAAATTGTCCTTAAAGAGGGAAGAAACTAAATCTGTCTAGAAGGAGAGAGATCTATTATTTAATGTTTTAAATGTGTTCCTGTTTGAAGGAAAGCAACAGCATTATTCGGCAACATGCTTTTGCCTGGTTTCCATCTTCAAATTGAAATAATCCACACAATAATAAAACCCTGTATTAGGACAATATTCTCAGATAGTAAGTGTTAAAAATTATGTGTTGCCCTTTTTTTCAGCTCTGGAGTAAGTACAATTTGATATTGCTTTGCCTAAAAGATTAGAATAGTTTTATTTTGCATGTCATAGAATTGTATCCATCTCAAACTGAAGGTTTCTTAGAAGTGACCTCACTGTCACATCTCAGGTTCATTTTATGCTTTTGTCCATATGTGACAGCTGAGAACCATCGCTATGGAAAGCTAAAGCAAAAGTAATGTTGCAATATTACCATTAAAATTGAATCCTCCAATTACACTTAAAATGATTACCTGGGTCCCTGCAGCCTTGTTTTTAGTTCTGTAAGAGGAAATAGGTAATTTAGTTTGAAACCTTGTTTGGTTGAAATCAGATACACTGCTATCTTTTCCCTTTTAGAATATGATAGTTTTCAGAACACAATGAACATGATCAGATTTTAAGACTTGATGTTGTAGCTTGGATTACACTCTTTAGGCTTTGAGAGAATAACAAACAGGAATGATTGTTGCTTCCCTTACCTGTACTTACTAACTGTGTGTCTATACCGTGTTTCTCATTTAGCCTTGCCAAACTGAAGCCTGAGAAGAGATGAACAACAAACCAGATTCAAAAAGGTCTCGAGAAGCACATATTGCACAGTTGATTTTTAAACAAACAATAAATTTACTTTTAATGAATTCTTAGTGGCTGTTGACGAATTTTGTTTACGACATCAGCAGTTTCGATGGTTTGGTAATTTCCATATTAATCAATTTGGAACTTTTTCATCTTGATTTCGAGCTTGGGGGTTTAAATTACTGCTTGAAAAGGCAGAGAAGTGTTTTTTCCTCTCATTTTTATTAGCCCCTTTTCATAGTGAAAACCATAGTCTAGCTGCTGGCGTATTCAGAAATCATCAGCACACACCAGTCCAATGTTAGAATCTGCTTTCG